ATTCTCTTGATTGATGTTGACTCTTTGCCCACGAGGCATGGAGAGCAAAACGAGTACCATAAAGCGTTGGACCAGCTGCTGCTGCAAGATACCGAGCTGCTTGCACGATGAGCTAAAATGGGTTTCATGGACATGACGTTCGCTATGGACCAAGATCAGTTGATAGTCGGACCAAGGATTGTCGACTGAAGTATTGACGCGATGCTCGGGAGATTACGCTTTCTGCCGACGCTGCAGCAAACAGGCCGTGCTGGCTTGCTGAAGATGTGAGAATTTGAACCAAGCATTGTCGAGTTTAGGTTTGCGCTCATATATCTGATAGCCCTTGGGAGAAGTTCCTAGCCTCGAGGCTAGAGATGCGACGGCATTGATGCCACGTCCAGCTAGTGCTTTCACGGTCGAGTAAAAGTCGTCCATGAGAAGAGTTCGTGTTATTTCGACCCCAAATGGTTGACGTACACGCACAGCGCATGCCCCCGCGAACCTCTCGAACCCTTCCTCTGTCCTAGACCCGGGACAATAGATTAACGACAACACACGCGGTCGTAGTGGGGTTGAACCCGTTCACGTGTCATTCAAGCATGTCGATGAAGTCTCCAAATGAGTGAATCAGGATGATGATGGCTTCACGTAAATGCGTCAGGTCATAGTCAGCTATGCATGTCACTTGTGTAAGCCCACTTGGGATGTACATAGCATGCTACATGCCATTCGAAATTTCCGAGAGGCCTCAGATAGCCGCACCCACTTCAGTGACCTAGCGAATACATGTTCCGTACTCGCAGCCAGGCAAGCAACGCCTTGCCAAGAGCAAAATTGACATCGACTCAAGCACTGTCAAGCGGGAAAAGAAATGGGAAGCTTGGCTTGCTTGAGCCAAGATACATATTGCTTGGTGGGATCGACCCTGGACTGGGGAGGGACTCAAGGGAGAGACTGAGAGTAAGAGAAATTTTACGGGCATTTTTTGCAGCAATTTAGCTCTTCACCGTGGCATGGCCGAGCTTGCTAGGCGGGCCGGGTTCAGAATGATAGCTTGGCAGGGGGTGGTGGTGGTGGAAAAGAGGACATTTGGCATTGGGGCAGTGTTCTTGGAAGTTATTGAAACTCTGTCCTCTGGTGTTTTGGTTATCTTCAGTCCTTGACTCTCGAGGCTGAGGCTTGAGTGTTTCTGACTACAGCATCGTGACAGGTACATTGACTACTGAGTAAGTCGTTGACTAAGATGAGGGAATATTCCACGATGATTGCGGGTGATTGTGCTGACTGATGCCCGTTGTGCCGTTGCGGGCGGACCGGCGAACCTGGAACGGAAAGTCGGCGACGGGGAAAAAAGAAAATGGGCGAATGACTTTTTCCTTTGCCTGGGCATTTGCCGCAATTCTGAGAGGATCCACTTTCAAGAGGGGGGAAAATGCCTGTCTCAGCCAATGGAAATGCGCTCAATGCTGTTATGCCTCGATGGGAAAGTGCGGTACGTACGGAGTACCTGGCTGACGAATGGGAAGGACCTGGATGGGATGGGGAACGTGCAGGGCAGGTCCGCAGAAGCACCTGCCACCTGCACTCTGTAGATTCTCAGAGTTGCAGAGTCGCAAGGAAGGAGCAAACAAGTCACAAGTTACAAGTCCCTACCACTGCAACAACAACCAATAGAAAGCAGGTGTGAGGGAGTCAGCAACTGCTCATTTAGACAGTGAGAATAGAAAAGTACTCTTTCGTGTATGGTTATATGAAATAGTACGGATACTTTGCACCATTACCGTGTCATCTGCTCCGGCTAATCCAACGCCGTCTCTTCCAATTCACGACGGGCGGGCAGTTTGGGTGACGGATTCCCCGGCAAAGTATATCGCAACTAAATCTATAGGCAAAGATACCTCGCAGGTTGACCCCACTTTGCAATATGGGCGTTACCGAAGCCTCCGGCTCGTCTCCATGTATTCGTAAGGTACGAAATACGTATTCCGAATTCGTAGGCCGTCCAGGTCAGTCAGGTCCGGTCCATCAGCGAAGCCACAATCTAATGGACACGACGACCGGGTCTTTTCCAATTTGGTGCTTGTTTCTCCTTTTCTTTCAAGCCCAGCCGTGAGCCTCAATTCTTCTTTCGCAATTCTCTCTTTTGCATCCTACATATCTCTATTTGCACGACATATCGCCACCGAAACCTCTCCGTCCCACAAACACCAGCCATAGGAGAGGAGGCCTGCGTGCGTCCAAGGGTCCTGTCGCCGTCCCAAGATAGCTTCCCTCTCCCTCCCTCCCTCCCACACCAACCTTACCTTGTCCTAACGTAACGACCGACCTTCAAGCCTTGGCCTGACCGACCGACCGACCGATCGAAAACCCTCAGACCCCTTCCCGCGACCCTCCCCACGCGCCTCGACGCTCCAGTACCGCTACGCTACACCTCCCCCGTAGGCATTCGCTTGCTCTACAGCGTACCGCGTACCCGTCTCGTCTCGTCCGGTCCCTATTGTCGCTTACCTGACCTTACCTCACCATCCTCGACGCTTCGTCCGAACCTCGCCAATTGCGTTGCGACATCCTTAAGCCCGCCCCGCTCCAAACACTCCAGCAGGCTCAAGTCTGTGACACGTCTGGCTCCAGCGCCCCGACAGAGCCCAGCCTAAGCAGCACAGGGGACGCTTCTGCTATTTCGAAACGCCCGTCATGGCGCGACTCGACTCTTTTACGGCCTCGTTGCCGCTGAAGTCTTTCTCCTCCTTCAAGACACTCGCTGCTGCTGCATACATCTTCACATCGCTCCCCATGGCTCTCGGTCACGAACACGGCGTCAGCCATATCCAAGAGGGCGAGACCGTCTCGCAGGAACCCATCGTAAGCGACCACCACTTCACCGAAAAACAGGCTGCTCGCAGACTGCCAGTAGAAACTACCCGACCTCTTGAAACACGACCAAGAAACACGAGAAACGAAAGGACAGAGATGCTAACTGACGATATCTACAGGACACGATATTATGGATTCACATCTTCATCATGATGCTGGCCTTCGGGGTCATCTTCCCCGTCGGCATGGTCTTGGGAGTAAGTGGCGATCCTACATGCCTTCACTTCCCGAACGTTGCTAACAAACGCTTCCCTTTAGATGACCAAAAACCGCTGGCATGTTCCGACTCAGGTCCTCGGCTCCGCTCTCGCCATTGTCGGATACTTCCTCGGCCACATGCACGGTGGAAGACAATTTGTCGCCCATAACGTCCATGCCTCCTTCGCCAACTGGCTCATGATTATCATGGCCTCCCAGGTCGGATTGGGCATCTACCTCAGGCTGCATCTCGAGAAGGGCATCAACGGCCGCATCCGCCGCTTCATCAAGCCTGCCCACAGCATCTTGGGCAAGGCCTCCCCAGTTTTGGCTTGGACACAATTCTTGTTTGGCGGCATCACCTCGTTGGGTTTCTGCCAGGGCGACCACCTCGGCCAGTGCTTGGCGCATTTCATCATGGGTAGCGCTTTCATTGCTTACGGAATCATCTTGACCCTGCTTCTCCTTGTTGGACAGCTGTGGGTGCGACGCAGCGGCCGATCCCAGGAATTCTTTGACAGCATCGTTATTGCAGCATGGGGCTGCGTGAATACCTTCACTGAGCATCGATGGGGCACGGAATGGGTTAGGAACGACTGGCAACACACAACCATGGGAATCATTTGGTGGTGTGCTGGTCTTGTTGGTATCTGGCTCAGCCGGGACCGTGACGGAAACCCCAAGCGCAACTTCATTCCCGGCTTCGTCATTGGTGTTACTGGATGGGCCATGTCTGCGCATCCTCAGGAACTCCCTATCAGTGCCATGACCCACAGCATGTTTGGTAAGACTCTGATGGGTGTTGGCATTACCCGTGTCATTGAGGTTGCCTTTGTTGTCAAGGACGGCGTTGGTGTTTCTGCCGATGGACGCCAAACCAACAGCTGGCAGTTCATCCCTGTCTTCGTAAGTCATCATGACACCAAAACTGTGTTTGAGCACTATCTAACGTCTCCTAGCTTTTGTACGCCTCTGGCTTCCTCTTTATGGGCGCCACTGAAGAGCAGATGGAACTTGTCGCCAACTCCGGCCTCGACCATGTGTCGTACATTCTTATTCTCTACTCTTTCGCATTCCTGCTCTTCCTCTTCACCATGATGCTCATCCACCTCTTCGACCGCAATACCAACACCGAAGGCAAGGTCAACCTGGCGAATGGCGTGCCCCTGGCAAACGGTCGCCCCGGCGAATCCCGCCAAGTGCGTGACGCCGAGGAATTCGAGCTCGAGGGCCTCATGAGCGACAACGATGACGATGAGGGCCGCAAAGGCCTGAAGGAGGAAGTGGACGACGAGGGAAGCCCTAGCAGTCCGAGTACCATCGGCAAGAATAGTGACAGAGTGGCGCGGTGATGGGGGATGTAAAAGAGTAGTATCCATCGGCGTTGATTAAATAGACAGGAAGGGCATATCGCATTTCAGGTTCGGCGTTTGGATCCAGGTTGCACCATATTTCATGGGCAGGAAAGCGTCTACATAGGACAAGAATCTTGATTGCAGTTTGACATTAAGCCTTCATTTACTCGGATCTATCATGGTATACAGTGTATTGAGGAACTAGACACGTAAGATAGAAATACGGTTATGGTTCAACTAGCTGTTTTGAGTATTGTGAAGTACTCCTACTATGACTATTCCAGAAGACTGAGCAGTACGCCGCCAGAGATCCGCCAGAAATCCTGTGTACATATTTTGCTTCACCTTGACGCACACCGACCTCGGTGAGAGGTGTGGGGTCAGCGAGGGGCAAGCGGGGCGGGCCTGGACCCCGAACCTGCATCCCGCCTCGTGCTCCACTGTAAAAAATCCTAGAGCGATGCTCCGTACTCGATCGCATTTCCTCCGCGGACCATTTTACCATCCCTTCTTCGACACCGCCTCTCTCCTCTCACTCCCTCCACGTCGAACGACCCAAATTTCTCGACGACACCGAAAGAAACTGCCACCATGCCGTCCGTCAAGAACCCCAACGGTCCCTCCAAGAACCGCCTGGCCAACAGGGCCCTCGGCGCCAAGATTGCCCGCCGCAAGAAGTCCGAGGCAAACCGCCACCAGATTGCCAGGACGGACACCATGCGCGGCGCGAGGCCCGGCCTGATGCCCACCAGCGGTCCCAACGCGCCCATGAGCAAGAAGAAGGCCAAAAAGATGGAGAAGAAGATTGCCAATGCGCTGAGGAGGCAGATGGAGGCTAATGGAGAGGTTATCATGCAGGGTGAGTGCTCTTGGTTACTTTGGGAAAAGACGGCAAAGCGGGGAGGAAATCGTTGTAGTAAGGAACGACTAAAGCTGACTTGACTCCCTACAGACGCCGAGGGCACTGCCGAGAAGCCTGAGGAGGGAGACATGGAGACGGAGATCATTGCATAGACGCTGGGCGAGGATACGGAAGCAAGGTTGAGGGAGTTGAAGCCCGATATGGAGTTGAGGGGCACGGGCATAGGGAGGATAGGTTCACAGGGAGCAGTCATGGCCATGCTTCGTTAAGTAACCCAGCTCTATTGCACTTCTGAAACTTTCAACTAACAACCACCCAAGTCTAGAAACCAAACTACCGCACCACAAACCTAGCCCAAATACATACGAAACTTGATACCCCCAAAATTAACATGACATTTTAAACCTGATCGCAGGCAGCCCGTGCTTGACATCTCCTGCATTGACACACGAAAGTCCAGGGTTCGGAGGGAGGTGAAGGACCCGTGGGACTCGTCGGATAAGGTGGCCCGGTCGACGTTCTCTGAGACTCAGTTGTACTAGTTCGCGAGGCAGCGAGTGACGCTCCGTGACTGGATTCTCCAAGATATCCCTTAGAGGAGCGCGAGACAGAATATTTGAATGGACGGGGCTGATACTCTCTATGCCCGAATAGCCATCCCCTGGAAGCGTGTTCCTGCTCAATGTTCGGCAGCGAGTCTTGGGAGGATGAGAGTAGGTCCCAATTATCCTCAGGGCTGTCTGTCTCTATAATGAGATCTGACTGACTGGGCAGCGGGACGTCTTTGGAGGATAAGAGAAGGTTGGATGTGACATCTGAGCTTCTAGTGTTTGGCACAAAGTCCGGTGGTATTATGGGTAGGTTCTGGTGGACGGAGAACCGTACGTCTGGCCCCTGATCTTCTCGCTCGTAAGAAGGGTTCGGTATCATTGGAGGCCAGTAATTCAGTTCCGGGATGGCGCAGGGAATGCTGGGCTCGATGTAGTCATGTCCTTCCACGAGACTCTCGCCAGGCGGACCAATTCGCTCTTCAACAGCTTGCGTGCTTGCTTCCTCGAGCTCAACGTCGGTGTCAGTCTCCGTCTCCGTCCCCGTATCAGTCTCAATACTCGTGTCATTATGCCAGGCTGTATCACGCCAGCGCCGGTAATACCCCTTCATATCTTCCGTCATGCGATCATACATCCTCTGGCTGAAGAACGGACAGTTGATGCCATCCGCAGCATCCTCTTCGTCATCGCTATCTACGCTCTCGAACTTGGGCATTTGGCTGATGTAGTTGTGGAAGATGATCTGGCGGGATACGCAGGATTCCATCAGCTCCGCCACGATTCTCCGCTCCGAGGTGCGGCACTGCTGCTCATAGTCGAGCAGGATCTGGAAATTGTCTACGCCAGGCATGAATTCCGAGGTAAAGAGGGTTGGCTCACTCCTGGCGAGCGCGATCTTCTCAGTGTCCTGGTTGGGAGGGAAGGAGAGGAGGTTCTGAGCCAAGGAGCTGTTGCTGGAGCTTGAAGGGGTGTCGATGTCCGAGCTAGTGGTTGCGGCGGAGGAGATACCAAGAGATGAGTTCCTCTTTGGAAGACGATACTTGTCGCCGACGATGGACTCCAGCCAGCGATCGGCACTCTCTTCCTGACGCTGGATCTCAATTACGTCGGATGACCTCGGTCCCTTGCCTTTAGCATCATCGCGGACCTCTGCTAAAGTTTCCAGACTCAGAAGCGGACGGCATGCGCCCATCTCTGCGTATGTCTGCACTGCGAGGGGATGCGAAGGCTTATGAAGCTGGTGCGCCGCCTCGGGGCGAGCAACTCTCGGGGGAGGCTTAGAAATCGGCTTAACGATGCAAGAGTCGAGCACGCCGACGATAATCATCAAGGAATGCTGCCATCCGTCGAGGCATCTCTGCTCATCTGGTCTTGTAGCAGCCGATTCGACAGCTCGGAGCATCTCAATTTCCTCTGCGAGAATGTGGATGATGCTCATAAGAGCTTCGCGGGCGGCATTGTATCTCTCTTCGCTGCGGCAAGTTTCGGCGAGCGCTCTGAGTGTGTGGCCTGCTACTTTGACAGGGCGCTCGCCGGCGTGGCGGATGGGCATGAAGTAGCTCGGGGGATAGAAGTCGAGCTTTGCCTGTGTGCCCTCCGCTTGCGAGGACATGTTGGCTGGAGTGCTCTGCATTTAAAATGTATGGTGTGTTGGTGAGAGTGAGAATGGGAAACTTGAACGGTTTCGAGATGGGGAAGAATGAGAAGAAGATGACGGAGTTGCCCAGGTTGAGCGCAGATGAGGCCTTTTTGACCCAAAATTCGGATATCCTCTTCGAGAGGTATCACATTGAATCATGGCTTCAGGAAAAGCCCTAACACTAGATCAGCGACAAGCTGAAGCTGCTGATATTTTTGTCTCGGTTTCAAAGGCTCTGGGATCTTCAAACGTGGATATCCGCCACCTTCAAAGCTTCAGAGCTGGCCTGAAAGCCGATGAGGTTAGAAGCTGGGGAGATCAAAGAGTATATCATAACTCGACAACTCGGATCAAGTTGAGAATGCTTGAGGATTCCTCCATAATTTCCAACTAGATGTAGCCTTGAGGAGACCAATGGCGAAGCAGACCAATAACAAACGCTTCTTTGCCCAGAGGCTCTCAAGCAATTGTTACACACACCGACGGACATAATTGAGAACCTGCCAGCTTTACCCTAGAGTCAAAGATCTCAAGTCAAACAGGAGTCGAAGAGGATATTCATCAAGGCACTATGAACGAATGTATGTGGCCGCAGACCACTCGTCAAAGGAACTAGGATCCTCACCCCAAGGCCCAATACCAGGCCCCTTGAAGAGAGAACCTCCTTTCCAGACCCATGCGACATTCTCAATCTTTTGTAGCACCCTGACGTCTTGCACTGGGTTCTCCAACAACCCAAGAACGTCTGCCTCGTATCCAGCTTTCAGCTGTCCCGTCTTGGGCGCTTGCCCACCCACGCTGAGCGGCCCGTTGGCTGTTGCCGCCTTGATAGCCTCCAGGTTGCTCATGCCGGCTTTCACGGCCGCCTCCAACTCCATCGCCATATTGAACCCGGGTCCTGTATCTGTACCCAGGGCAATCGGAATACCAGCCTCGATGGCCATCTTGTACGCCACCAAATGATTCGTGGCACATAGCTTTGCCTTTTCCCACGCCGTGGGAGGTATCCCCTTCCCTCCGGTACCGAGCAGCAAGTCCATGACGAGACGCGTGGCGATGTAAATGATGCCCTTCTCCTTGATGAGATCGATACACTCACGGTCAGCAAAGGAGACGTGCTCCAACGTTGTGACACCGGCCTTGATGGCGGCCATGATGCCGGGTTTGCCGTGGACATGCGCCGCGACCACGCGATTCTGTCTGTTTGCCTCTTCCACAATGGTTTCGAGTTCCGCGGGACTGAACTGTGCATAGAGCGGATTATCGTCGCGGGACATGACACCACCGGAAGCCATAACCTTGATGCACTTTGCCCCTCGCCGAATCTGCAACCGAACAGCGCGACGACACTCATCAACTCCGTCCACAATCATGCTCGTCGCAGTGCCAAAGTGTCCCGCAGTGACTTGCGACACCCCCAGGTTCAGCAGCACGTCTCCAGCTGGGAGAGAGAAGACGTCACCGTGGCCAGCCAGCTGACTGATACATGCACCGGAGCTGTAGACGTTGGGTCCTACGATCGTACCGTCCTCGATGGCGCGGGAGATCTCGCAGCCCATGCCTGCCACATCGCGGAGGGACGTGTATCCTCTCTGCAGGGCCAGCCAGCACATGCGCGTGAGACGAGCGCCGGATGCGGCGGGGTGCTCGGTGATGAAGACTTGATACGGGTCGCTGCTCGATCCTGCGTTGGGGGATCCTCCGTTAAAGTGAGCGTGACAGTCCCAGAGACCGGGCATCAGGTATGGGATCGAGTAGGACTTGTGAGGTGATTCGGTGTATTCCCTGGGGATTGACGATTGCGGGCCGACCCAGGCGATGAGCTTCGAGGATATGACGAGGGCTGCATCTTTTATGGGTTCGCCGTTGCCGGGAATGAGAAGAGAGGTTGTGATGATGGTGAGAGTTGTCTTCTTGGAGGGGTCAACAGGCAGGTCGTCGTCGGTGTAGGATGGCCTGAATGAGCCACCCAGAGACGAGGAGTAAATCTGGGCTGGTCGTTCGATGAGATGCCGAGTCATGTTGGCTGTGGTATTTGTGTTTGTTTGAAACTACAAGTGAGCTTAGTCCAATTGGCGTTTTCTGAGTTGACTGCGACATGAAATCAATTTCACAATTTATTAGGAGGCTGGTGATCCTTCGCGGCGTTGGAGAATCATCAGTGCTACATCGGTCCCGAGTACCTAATTAGGAAGGTCGTCACTGTCGTCTTACTTTGTTGTCTCTGACCAATCCTCATTAAGGCTGAAAGGCTCCCAGAATTGGCCGTATATCCGGGATCTTTGGAAACTGTCAGACTGGCTATGCAGAGCGAATGATACGTGGGAGAGAATGAGTTGTCTCGGCGAGATCGTTTCAACGTTCACTTAGAAAGGTGATCGAATGACAGGAGTTCACTCAACTGAGATCATCGAAAGAGATGTGAGATTGAAATGAGTCGACCGACATTACTCTTATCACCATCTAAGTAGCTATCCGAAAACACGCAAGTCTACTTCGAGCTGCTTTGCAAAACCTTGGAAGCCACCTGCTGACACAAATCCGTGAGGCTCTGGTTCTTGAGAATCTCAAACACGGGTACCTCGACGAGAAGCTGCTTCTTGAACCAGTATCGCACCTCAACCGCCATCAATGAATCAACACCAACAACGTAAGCTGGTTTCCCAACATCAAGCGTTTCAATCGGCACAGACAGGGACTTGGCTAGCTTTTTAACAAGACCCTGGGTCACGATCTCGCTGGCAGTCGGCAGATCAGGCGCTGCCTTCACTATGGTCAGGCGATTGACGCCGTCGCTTCCATCGCCATTGCCTCCACCAGCCCCACGACCACTGCTCATATCTTCTGTCTCACCCATACGGAGAAGATTGCTGAACATGGGCTTCTGCATCCAATCCAAAAGCCCCTGTTGTGTCATGCGCGCCAGGTCCGCCGCGCTATCCACCATGTTGACGACCTGGGCTGACCCGGGCTTTGCGCAGTCGTAGCCGGGGTCACAGAGCAGATCAAGTAACTACATGAGCTGTGCTTGCGTGAGATTGTCATGCCCGGCGCGGAGGCTCTGCGTCACGGACTCGTAATTGACATTGGCCCAACCGGCCTCGGCGACAAGCACCAGGTCAACAGAAACGCTCTTGAGGCCTTGTGCCACACGATGCCGTGCGAGAGCATCTTCAAATGCGTTTCCTGCTGCGTAGTTGCTCTGTCCGCGATTGCCCATGATGCCACAGAATGGTGAGAGCAGGACGAAGAAATCCATATCCTTGGGCAGGAGCTGATGCAAATTGCATGATCCAGCACGCTTCGGACCAAGCGTTTCAAGGAACATCGAATGAGACATCTTAGCCAGCATATCGTCACGGAGAACCATGGCGGCTTGTATGCAGCCTTTGATCGGTGGAAGCTCTCGTGATGCCTGGCGCAACGTCTCCTCGACTGCTTTCTGGTCGACAATGTCACAAGCTGGCGCGAGCACTGTGACCCCAGCGGTGCATTCGAGCTCTTGAATAAGCTTGAGAGCATCTGGCCACCCTGCAGCACCGCGTGAGGAGAGGAGGACCAGGTTCCGGGCCCCGCGTGAGACTATCCACCGAGCGATCTCGCGACCAAGATCACCCAAGCCGCCGCTGATAACGTACGTGGCATTCGCTTCGAAGTTGTATCTGTGTTGACGTTGTGAAGGTCGATACTCCACCGTGTCGGTCGCGGAAGCGTAGTCAATGATGACCTTGCCAGTATTCTTAACGCCCTGCAAGGAACGCATTGCATCCTCAAGCTTCGAGGGCGAGAAGGTGTGAAGCGGCTTGGGTTCGTGTAGGTGGAGGTTCTCCTCGAACAGCCGTGTAACATCCTGCAGGATCTTTTTCATGAGTGGCTTCACCTCTTCATGAACAACGACCAGATCGACGGAAAAAAACGCCACGTTGCGATTGAATGGGCCCATTGGGAGCGTATTGTTGGCGATAATATCCGCTTTGCCAATGTCGATGAAGCGGCCAAAGGGTGCGATGCATTCCCAAGACTGGCGAAGGAGCTCGCCGCCTAGGGAGTTGAGCACAACGTCAACTCCTCGACCCCCAGTTGCATGAAGCACATCTTGGGCAAAGGTGTCGTCACGGCTGTTGAAGATTTGAATGTCCGAAAGTCCAAACAGCTGCTTCACAAGCTCACGCTTTGTTTGACTCTCCACGGTTGCAAAGATCTTGGCACCTCGAAGTTGAGCGAGTTGTACGGCTGCCTGTCCGACACCTCCAGCAGCTGCATGGATAAGGACAGTCTCGCCCGGGCTGAGACGTGCGATAGAGAGAGTACACCACCGTGGACCACACGGCAGGAATCGCTGCAGCCACTTGGAATGACATGCCCACAGGAAGCTTCTCGGTTTGTAGCTCGGGGCAGCGCACATATGTTCCGAAGCCTCCTCCAGTCGAGCTGCAGAACAGCACGGAATCGCCTGGCCGAAGTTGGCTTCCCGGCGAAACTCTGGAAACGATGCCGGCACCATCAAATCCGAAGCTTCGCCCGGGAATCTGCCCGAGAGCGATCATGGCATCCTTGAAGTTCATGCTAGTCGCCTTGACCTCGATCTCGACATCACCTGGCTGGAGGTTCTTGCCAGCCTCGGCGTCCTCGACGTAGAAGATGGTACCAAGGAGTCCAGGGGTTTCAATGGTGATACTGATGTGTGGCTTCGGCCTCTCTCCATTGAATGTGCACGACTTGAGCCTATCACCACTTTGCTTCGCGAAGAGGGCTTGATCCATATGAGGAGCCGGCATGAGGTGAGGGATACAAATCAAGCCATCATCTTCGGAGAACTCAGACTCGTTGTCGGTGCCAGGACAAGAAGCGTGGCCCAATCTTTCGACTACACGCATGATGCTTTCAACTGCACTTGTGACAGCGGTGGGGCTCTCAGACCGGGAGGATAGATTCAAGGTCACGAAGCCTTGATCTCCTCTTTCTGAACAGACACTCCGACCAAATTCGATGGCGACCTCCGCCGCAGAATTGGTGGCCTTGGGAGCCCCTCCGTACGTCAACCACAACGTGAATCTTGTATCGAGGCAAATTTTCTTGATCGCCTCAAACTCGTTTGCGGTGACAGATGACAATACGGAATCATCTAGCTCTAACAAGCTGACGACCACGTCATCTCTAGTGAGCTTGGTGTCTCCTGGCGCTATGCTCGACATGCTGCAGATTTCAACCCCCATAGTTTGGACTCCTTGGATGAGATAACTCCGAAGAGATTCAGCTGTACAGGTCTGGGTAGCAGAGGTAGGGTCTACAACGATCTTGTAGGGCGACTCGACCCCGGCCGGCTGACTTGAGAGACTCTCATTCTCCGGGCGAGTAGTGATAATGATGGAGACTCGGTGATATGGCTTCTGTTCGTGGTCGCGGAAAGCCATTTGAATGCCCGGAAAACCAGCGTCCTTGAGAACTGTGGCCCATTGCTCTTCCGTTAGGAGAGGGCCCTGGTCTTGGTACTCCTGATCTGTGGACCACCACTGCCCCTCCCGCAGCCACCAGCCAGGCAAAAGGCCAAAGATGAGACCATCGCGGACATTGTCCAAATTGACCGTCTCTCCCAAAGCAAGCACCCCGCCAGGTCGTAGGAGTCCTCTGAAATATCGAAGTGTCTGAATCAAGTCGCTTGTGGCATGCAGCACGTTACCTGCAACCACAACATCGTAAGTTCCTTCAGCAAACCCCTGGGTATCAGGGTGCTTCTCAAGGTCTAGCTTCTTGAACGTCATATGGCTTGCCGCGTAAGAGAAACGCTCGGGCGCCTTCTCAAAAAAGCCAGCAGAGATATCTGTGTAGCAGTACTCGCCGAAGCGCACAGCCTCAGGGGGACCACCTTCAACCCCCTGTGCAGCCAGGTAAGGGAGGATCCGACCGGTTGAGCTCCCAGTTCCAGCTCCGACTTCCAACACGCGAAGTTTTGGATTCGCATGGGCTAGGACATTGATGTACGCTTCCATCTTGCTGTTATTCGTAGCAAAGATGTCGGAGTGGTAAAACTCGTTGGCAAGATTGCCCTCGAAGATTACCTGCAGCGCGTTTGCTTCTCCCTTGAGGATGCTGTGCAGATGCTCGCCAACCTTCTTGGTGAGTCTCTGGGTAGGTTCGCTGTCGGCTTCATCCAAGATCTCCTGGATACTCAAGTGACTTAAGCCCCGAGAGTCTAATGTCCAGGTATCCCGACTCTGGTGCACACGTCGCATCCACTTGACATGTCGAGTCAAGTGATTATCAAATTGAAGCGGCTCGTCTTCTTTGTCAACTTGCTTCAGAGCCGTCTCGATGAAGTGCAGAGCAATGGCGTCGGCACGGTCGATGAGCTCTTTCGGAGGGGCGCGGCATCGAGGATCCTCTTTGAAGGCAGACGCGAAGTATCGACTCTTGGCCTTTGCATCTAGAAGAGACAAATCGGGCTTGTAGTCGAGACCATAGAAATTTTGACCCGATTCGCCATGAGAAGTAGCAGCGTCGGCTGACTTGAGACTTGTGATGGCGGTGCCCCGCTGGCCGTCAAGGACGAGAACGGGTTCGTTGGAATCAGCGAACGTGACCAGCGTCCTACACTCAGCTTCTCGGAAAGCTCGCATAGTCTCTTGAGTTGCAGCTCGCAGCTGCAGATTTCCAGGCGCCTCAAAAAGTCTCTGTGATACCCACAGCTTTCGCAGATGAGAGAACATCATCGTCGGGACGGCATTCCAACCGCCTTGGGACAAGGCGACCATCTGGAGGTGACAAACTGCGTCCAGAGTGCTTGGATGAACCACGCACGGATCTTCTAGAGCATACGGCATGGTTGAGGTATAATCTCTAGCTGCCAGCATGGCTGTAGCATGACCTTCTCTGTCGTAGGAAATGTTTCTCAGCAATTGGAAGTACGGTCCATAGTCAAAGACTGATCGCTTGGACATATTCTTGTACAGTTAAGTGGGGTGTACAATCAGACGGCACTTTTCAATGTCTGCCTGAAGTTGCTCTTTGATAGACATCTCAAAACAGGCTCGACGGGCTTCAGAAACGGCGGCTTGTTCCGGTCCCAAGACTTGCTCGGGTTCAAGTTCGACTTTGATGCTGCCATACGCGCATTCGTTCCAGTCGTCGCCATTGGTTCCAAAAACTTAAGGTACCCAGGTTATCTATTCTACACATGTTCTTCAATTGCGAGACGATCTCAACTCGTACGAGTGCCCACTACAAGACTTCAATCCTCGTCGATGAGAATCCTGGACACTTCGCCCCTGGACGTATATTCAGTTCAATGGGGGCCCGCGAACCTGCATAGGGCAGCAGCTGGCCCTTACAGAGATGGCTAACGTCCTGGTTCGTGTATTTCAGCGCTACAAGAGAGTGGAAGTGGAGCCTGTATTCCCACCGTCAGAAGCACAGTCAAAGGAAAGGGGATGGCTGAGAAGAGGCACACAGACCGAGTCGGTGGAGAAGTTTGTCAGGTCGAGGCCACGGATGGCTAGTGAGATCACACTGGCTCCTCGAGGAAGTGTAGACCTGGTGTTCATCGAGTGACAATGAATTGGGATCTGTACTCAGAAATATGTGTCTTAATTGGAAAATAAGGAAAGGAAGAATTGGTTTGATGAGTTCTTCCTCTAGGTAAGGTAGTGGAACCCATAGTCCTCGGCTTTAACTGAACATAAGGAGGCAGTCACTGGCTTTGATTGCCTTTCACTTACACAATCTTTGGTCACTACAGAATACATCTTTGATGGTTAGAGAAAGCACCATAGATGCCATGCTGGGTTGCAGAAGGCGGCACGCATCTGAAGCACCTACCTGCCTGGATTTTCGCTGCCTCAAGTCGAGGCAAGATGCCTTCCCCATGACGATGTGATGTCTTCCTTCTGCACAAGGAATGGGACATCTGGGAAGACTAAGGTACTGTCTGCACCTTCTATCTTAGGTGGCTGGAGGAGAGGTATCTTGTACCTCGGCGATGTCCCATCAAATGCTACCAAGGTCAACCCCCAACGTCAGGATTCTTCTACAACATCATCATCATCACCACCAACCCATCCCATCCGACACCTCTGAACCCGTGCTTCTTTGAGCCCGAAGCATTCGCGCTATTTTGCTATTGCTCAAAACCATCATTCTCTGCAACCTTACGGCATTCACTATTTCCTGAGAAGCTCGTCTTCCAACTCCACTTGTGACCGTCATACCGCTTGCTTACCTGTCCATTGGAATCCCCAAGCCCATCTTCAAAGTCCACAGAGACGCCCAGTATGGGCCCAACCCATTACATCACCGCTTTGGCAGCGTTTGCATCTTTCGTAGCAACCTCGCCTGCACACGACTACCCAAAAGACTCCCGATTGTCGTTCACCCCTGCCAAATCTGCCCTCCGCCTCATCAAAACATCTCCAGCTGATCCCGGGTCATGGGTCGCCGATGCGGGCAAAGACGCGCTGATCGAGAAGGGAATCCGTTTCTTCGATATCACAGACATCAAAGTACGCTTTTTTACACCGCTTGTTTAGGTCCATCCATCGGATTTATATGACTGACTTCTCAAAAGGACGGAGAAGTGCTCTCTATGCTGTCTACTCCTGACCACGACTACAGTCAATACCTCGACACGCTTGACTTGAATACCGACTTGACAGATTGGACCCAGGAGGAACTTGGTGACCAATTCATGGCCGCCCCTGAGCAAACGATACCGTTCAACGCTGCACGCGCAATGCGTCACCTCAAGACAATGACCGAGTAGGGAGTACTCACACAATATTGCTCTGAGTTCTGACCAGAATTGTAGGTTTTGGAGTAGAGATCATCGAGCGGAAAACGGCACGAAAGCTGCCGACTGGATCCTCGAAAGTATTGAGAGGATTGTAGCCTTGGTCAATCCGCGCATTAAATGCGCCGCATTCACACATAACGCCACCAAGCAGCCCTCGATCATCGCCAAGCTGCCCGGAGCTACCTCTAACATTGGCGAGTCTGCTCATCATCGCCTAGATGGCCCTGCTAACGCCTTGACTAGTGGTTTTCGGCGCACACTTTGACTCTACTTCAAAAAGTCCTAGTGGCTATGCCCCTGGAGCCGACGACAACGCTTCCGGGACGGTCGTGCTGCTTGAACTTCTCCGGGCTCTAGCAGAAGGGACACAGCAGAGTGACACAGAGCCTCGAAAGTTGCTTCGCAACACTATTGAGTTCCATTTCTATGCTGCAGAAGAAGCCGGCTTACTTGGCTCGTCAGAAATCTTTTATGATTACAAGGTCAAGAACAAAACGGTGGTTGCCATGCTGAACCACGACATGTTGGGATTCTCTTCCACTGACAAGGTGTCTCTGGGTGGCGACAAGATTGACCCACGCCTCACACACGTCCTCCGAACCATTGCGAAGCAACGTGGCATTGCAACACTGAGCTTTTCATGCGGATACGCCTGTTCCGATCATGCAAGCGCTCACAACAACAAATATCGTGAGTGCAATGTTTTCTTCTCACTTGACTTGAACTGACGATGACTCCATAGCTGCAGCCTTCATAACTGCCGATCGTGATCCAACGGGCAACGACAGAATTCACACTGATAAAGATGTCAGTTTCACCGATATTAGCTACGGTCTCTCCGAAAGTCGAGTGCTAATCTTGAATGCAGACGTTAGAGACGATCGAGAAAGAAACACTTGAACGTCATTTCCGATTTAGTCTCGCGGCTCTTGAGGTTTTCTCGCACGCCAATGTTACGAAGTTGGGCAGACCAAGTGACGATCTAATGTAAACATTGGGACCTGGCTAGGAGGAGAACGATGCAGAAGGCATGGACAGCGGCCGACAAGTAGTGCTACCCACTCGTGAACCAAGAATATGATTACTAGCATGTTTCTATGGAAATCACGTTCCTCTATGACTTTCCCTATTTGCCAACGTGAACTTGCGCACTTGTTGGCCTCTTCTTCGATGCCCCAGGGACTTGGAAACACCGCAAGATCAACATTTATCAAACCAAGGTCTTTGATATCCCTCAGATGGCTGAAGCAAAGACTCCGAAAGGAGAGTTGGCCTTTCCCGTCACGTCCGGCATTGAGTGTCCGGGCGGCTCCACTTTGACCGGGCGGCACTGTCTGATAGCTCGGCAGAGGCCATGATAGGTGGGTCGACCCGACGCTCAAAGCATGTTACTCAGCATGCCCCCGAGCGGAGATGTAGGAATATGGATAAGACATCAAAAACCCGCTGAGGGGGTGACATCCCCAGCCTTGTCAACGACGATAGCCGGCCAATAATGACCACAAGGGCAACGACGTTTTGTCAAAAGATCAACAGAAACATGAGCAACCTCAAAGGCAAAGTCATTGCCATCACGGGTGCAGCATCAGGCATCGGCCTGGCTACAGCGAAGCACCTCGCCAACCTCGGCGTGCGGGTATCGATATCAGACGTCGACGAGCCCCTCCTCGCCACAGCCGCGGCGGATCTCATCCAGCTCCACGGGGCTGAAAACGTTTACTCGCGAGTTGTGGACGTGAGGGACCGTAAAGCGGTGGAGGCGTGGATCGCGGAGACGGTGGAGAGGCTCGGACCTTTGGACGGGGCGGCCAACGTCGCTGGCGTGCTTGGGCGGCAGGGCAATACGGCGACAGTGACGCAGATTGAGGATGATGAATGGGATTTCGTAATGGGCGTGAATGCGAGGGGGATCTTGAATGCCATGAGAGCTGAGATTCCTGCGTTGGCGGAGGAGGGCAAGGGGAAGAGTATTGTTAATGTGTCGAGCGTGGCGGGGCATTATGGGTTGGAGTATCATGGGGCGTATACGGCCAGTAAGCATGCTGTCGTCGGCTTGACCAAGAGTGCGGCGAGGGAGTTTGGGAGGAAGGGGTTGAGGATCAATGCTATTTGCCCGTAAGTTGTCTTTGTCTACATCATAAGGAGACCCGGCTCACGAACATCGCAGCGGTGCAATTGATACGCCCATCTTACGGACGGCGCTGGCGGCCAAGACCACGGAGACCGGGGCGGATGTGTTTGAGCCACTTTTGGGGAGGGTTGGACAGCCTGAAGAGGTGGCAACGACGATTGCTTTCTTGTTGGGGGATGAGTCCTCGTATGTCACAGGGCAGGCTTGGCTGGTTGATGGAGGTTCAATTCCTTGATGGAGCTTGTGCAACTGCAGTTGAGTATGAGAATTCTGGACGAGGGAGGACGGAGGATGGACACTAGCTTGCGGATGGATTACGGCGCGGAAGATGAGATCGGTCGGGTCGTAGTCAGGGTCACCGAAGAGTAAGGTAGCCTTGGAGAGACGAGACGTGGAATACTACTTGCCCGTTGGAAAACTATCTTTGGGTGCTGACTGTGCTGCTGTCTCGGAGTATTTGGAATTCTCGACAGCAATTGGTGCGTTGTCGCAGCGAAGGATGCAAAGGATTCAGGCGCTGCTACCTCTTTCCCCGAGAGTGGAGGAGCAGCTACCGTGCTACCATACCTTCGTTGGTAGGTAAGAGCAGAAGAAATTCTAGATGCTACGCCGGCAGCTGTGCGTACATGCAGTGAGAAATCTTCTGGAACGATGGAACCGGTAGGTGTGATCGCGGGCGAAATGACGACCGGGCGTCGAGGCACAAAATTGTCTGCCACGACATCAGAACCTGGGCGCAGGTACCATGGGCACACGGCCCATGGCTATGACCATCACAATTGAATGACCGAAGAATGCTTCAAGAAGAGGGCGACGGTTTATGAAGATTGTGAGATGATCTCGTGAATTATTTCACGGAATGACTAATAGTAAACCTAGCAAGCGAGTGCCAAGTTGGTATCAAAGCAGATATGAACAATAATATTATAGATGATAACCGCCGTCCCCTTTTTCCAGCCGTCGAAATATCCTCCGAAGGTCAAGCGAAATCTTGAGATGATGGGTAATTAGGCAGCTTTCATGTCCAAAGACTTAGACAGTCTTCTCGGGCAATGAGCTGTGGGCGGAGCTGCCAGGGGCACCGTCGTGGCTGCTGCTGGGAACAATGTCTGAGACATGGCGGGTGACCTCGACGTAGTCGTAGGCGAATTCGCCGAGCTGGCAGTCATCAATGCCGAGGTCCTCATCGTCGACGCTGACACGCAAACTGAGGCCGGGGATCAGGTTCATCAGGAAAAGGATGAGGCAGGTCAAGGTGAAGGACCAGGCGAAACCGGCAACGGAGCCGGCAAGCTGGTAGCCGAGCTGGACGTAGTGGTGCTCAATCCAACCACCGGCGATCGCGGATTCACCAGTGTAGGCGCCATCGAGGGCAGCAATGTAGGAGCTAGATCATGTTAGAATGAGGATCCGGGAGTAAAAGCCACAGGGTGCAAAACTTACGCAGCGAAGATACCAGTCAAGACGTTGCCGGTAATACCGCCGATTCCGTGGACCGCAAAGATATCAAGACCGTCGTCAATTCCAAGGACGAACTTGAGCTTGGTGCCAAAGTTGCAGGCGATAGCACCGACAATACCGAAGATGACAGCTGCCCAGGGAGTAACGAAACCAGCCCCAGGGGTGATGGCAACCAGACCAGCAATGGCGCCGGAGCAGAAAGCAATGGTGGACCACTTCTTCTCCAGACGGTAGTCGAGGAGCATCCAGGTGACACCACCGACACCGGCCGCAAGGTTGGTGTTGAAGCAGGCCATGACAGCACGAATGTTGGAGGCGAGAGCGGATCCACCGTTGAAACCGAACCAACCAACCCAGAGGAACACGGTTCCGAGAACGACGTGGGTGACGTTATGAGGGCGGTACGGGAGACCGTGGACGCTGTTGTAACCGGTGCGCTTACCCAGCATCAATGAGTAGGCAAGGGCGGCAGCACCAGAGGAGATGTGGACGGGCGTACCACCGGCAAAGTCGTATGAGCCGAGGATGAATAGCCAGCCATTGCCGTTCCAGGTCCAGTAAGCGATGGGGTCGTAGACAATGGTGGCCCAAACGAAAGCGAAGACCATGGCGGGGAGGATGCGACCGCGGTCAGCAATAGCGCCGAGAGCGAGGGCGGGACTGTTAAGTAGTCAGATTCTGCCATTGAGGTCACAGACTTCGCGCCAGACCAGAGTGAACTCACGTAATGGCGGCGAACATGCCCTGGTACAGACAAAAGAGAATATCAGGGAGCTTGGTGGAGCCGACAGAGGGTTGAGCGACGACGTCATTGAGACCAAAGTTCGACATGTCGCCAAGGAAGACAGAGCCGGTGTGAGAAAAGGTCAAGGTGTAACCCCAGAAGAACCATTGGAATCCAACCACGCCCACACAAATCATCGAGATCAATATCAAGGATAGCGCAGACTTGCGACGGGCGAGACCAGAGTAGAAGAAACCGACACCGGGAATCATGAGCAGCACGAGTGCCGAGCAGACCATAATCCAGGCTAGATCGCCAGACTATACAACTATGTTAGACAACATGTATGAGGTAGTCGAGATTAAAGACGGCATCGCGTAAGCTCACCTCATAGAAGACGTTGAGGTCGGCAACACCAGCAGAGTAGCCGGCGTCGGCCTCGCCCTCGGTGCCATTGTAGGGGATGGCGTAGAGACCGGCAGACATTTTGACGGTTGCGCGCCGGCGCGTGAGCGGTCAATGGGTAGTGATTTCGTTGCGCGGTATACGGACGGGTCCTCGGGAATCCTCAACGTTTGCCAGCCTCGAGATCGGCGAACAGACGTCGAAGTAGAAGGAATGGGCGAAGAAGGCTACAGGGAAGGGAGGGAACGAAGGAAGGGGGGGAATAGAAACAATGCTGAAGTCTACGCCGGGGATGGACAGGCTAAATAATCCAAAAGCAACATTAAGAAAAGCAAAACCGGGGCGTTGCTTTCGGCCCCTCGTCGTGAGCCGGCCGATATTTGAGCCTGCGAGTGCGGATAGAAAGTACACCACGGAGCACGCTGCAAAAATGCTGCAGTATCTTTGGATGGATCCGAACAGGGCAGGGATGAGCAGCCCAGACCGATGGCGCGGGTAAGATGAAGGATGCTATGTCAGTAAGTCGGGACGGGGAGGTCGCTCATTGACCAGTCCTCTGTGCCGGGCAACACCAATAGCGCAGGCCCAAGGGGTGGGTAGTAAAGCATAAAAAAGGGCATGAGAGAGGGTGTCTAGCTGCAGCAGAAGAGGGCTGTATCCTGAGAGCGACTTCCAAATCCTCCTCTGTCTCCGGGAAGACAAGTCGGGCACGTTCCTCTACTGGCGTAGCTGCATGGTGGAGGTACGAGAACGCCCTCATCACGAGAGCTTCATACAAACAACGTCGGTGAAATTCGTACATGTACTTGCACCACATGCTTCGAGAACCCTTGTTGACCTTCTCCCCATCCCATGTCGTCTAGCATCGTGCGGGCCTTCGGAAGCTGTGGGTACTGATAAGGAGTTGGAGACTGGCCGGGGTTTGTCGAAGGAGGATGACAAGGATGTCTAGGGTCGGGGGGTTCGGCTCAAGGCTAAGTGAAGCCTTTTGAGGGAGCCATGTCTCTTGGCAGACCTGGTCGCTAGCGTACCGTAGACGTTTCTTCGTCCGCCGGGCTAGCTTTCGTACACCAACCAGACCCTCTAGAGTCTGCCACGCTGTGCATCTGGCGTTTGGGACTGAGACTCCGGATTCTAGACGTGGAGAATGTCAAAAATCGAGCAGATGAAATAGAGTACCATGCCAAGAGATGGCTTGAGCTTTGCTGATCCCGCCTCGTGCCCACGTCTAGAGATAATCGAATTTCAACATGCTGTGATCGCCAGCAACATATTGTCCCCAATCCTCAATGTTGTTGGTTATTTGTAGCACGGCGCAAATGGGAGGGATCTTTTTTCGGCCGGTTGAGCCGCAGGGCAATCCCTCCGTTTGTTACTGCTTGCTTGACATTGGATGCAACATGTCGAACCAGGACAAAGTTTTTCCAAACTTTTTGCAGCGCAGCAGCGGTCGTATGGCATGCAACCAGGCCCAGGCACGTCGGCACAGACGTCTCTAGAGTACTGGACCCGAGACGGGCCAAGACTGCAAGAAACAGACGATCAAGGCATTTCGAGATGAGGGCCAAAAGGAAAGACACATGCTGTGCCTCAGCAGCATAATGGCAGAAACGCACCAGCAAGGCGCAACGGTCGACCAAACTCATCCGTACCCGGCAGGTAAGCTGTATTATCTGACAATCTGTAGCCAATTCATTTCCCGTGTTGTGTTCCACCCGTAGTTTCCGACCTTGCCTGCTCGCTGCCGTGTGGGGGCGATTTCGGTCCATGGCTGCGAAACGGGATAGATGCTCCGTTTACAAAGACCTTTGGCAATCAGGCCGGACGTATCCGTACGGATACATTGCATGGCCGTTTGGTCTGTTGCAGTCTAGCCAGAGACATTGAGCAAGAGCTCAGGGCGCATGGAGAGGTTCGCTCAGGCGACAAGCTGAGATTTTGATGATTGTTGTCGAGCCGAGACCCAGTTGCACATCCATCCCAGGATGTGCTTGACTGCTTCTATCCGTACACCAGGCCGCATCAGCCATATGCCTCGTTCCTACAGGCTCAGACACTGATGCCATTGTAACTTGTCGCAACCGCCTGTCTTGATAGTTGCTGCAGCGTGCCGATCAACAGGAATTAAGGTATTCCACCGTTGAGATTTGACAGGACTAGCTCGACGCCATCTCCATAGCTCCTGTCACGGATACGGGTGGTCGAGCGAGTCAAATGAGAAAAGGTCACGGATGATTGGTGAGCGGCCTCGCTTTCCCGCGGTGAACGTTGTTGGTCCCGATAGCACGGTGTCGGAGAAGAAGAAAGGTGCAGAAGGAGGCGTCCGAATCCGTCGTATCTGCTCAAACTTGGGAGTCAGAATGACACAGTGACAAGACGAGAGGGTCCTCCATGCTTGAGAAAGCCCGGTATCGCACACGGGGTGCGGCATCGTCAGCTGCGTCTCAGAAGTCAAACTACGTTAGTTTGTGTACCCGTATGAAGTATATTTACGGATAGATAGCCTTCGGGCTGAACGACGTGACGGTGACGCTAGTGAATGGCGACGGCTTTGAATCCCCCACATGGCGAGCGATGGCTCGAGAGGTTGTGGTTGTATTATGGCATAGGATCTGCAGGTTGCCAACGGTGTGAAGACCTCGCATCGACTGTGGTGAGCGGTAGTCCGAGTCGCTAATCTCAGGTCTGAGCGTCGCGTTCTCGAAGCAAAGTGAGCAGTCGAGGTTCTGGTCATCGGACAAGTCTAGATAGTTCTGGTTGGTTTCATTGCAGCGCTTCAGTCCGCTAAAAAAAAAAAAAAAAATGTGTGCAAGGCCGCGTGAACCCAGAACGACACATGCAGCTGGAAAAGGCTTTCCTTGATCCTTCTATGCCGTCGATGTGCTGCGCCGTTGGGGAAAGGTCGGGAATCCTTCAGGTCCACCAAGAGATAAGGCGACGCCGAAACCGGGCTATCTGAAAGAAGAGAAAGCCGTGACGGGCTTGCGCCATGGGTAATTGCAATACCTAAAAGCCGCGGGTGGAACATCTAATAGAAGTAGCGCGTCTGACAGGCGTTGACGAGAGCAAAGATGCGCTGGTGAAGATGCTGAACCAGGTACTGCATGAATCGTCCTTGGTGCGCAGGTTGGTGGTGGGGAATCAAGATTGCTCGCTAATCGATGGCAATGGCTGGCTGTTTGATACGCAGGGGATTATTACTCAGACAGAAAAAACTGGTCTGTGTCTCTTATCATGTCGTCGAATCCGGTGGCTAGCTCTTTGCCGTGGCGTTCTGATCGTTTACCGGTCGATAGAGTATATGATGTGCGGTAGGAAGAGGATCGTGGGATTCGATACATGGACGAACTGACGAGCCTTTTGCCCCGGATTGTCTTCGGGATGGGCGACATGTCGTCATTATCACCCCGATGGAGCAGAGAATTATCCAGCCAAGAAATTGATGGAGCGTCCCATTCGCACGAGCATCGAGAGGGTGCGCCTGTTGCCCATGTACGGAGTAGAAGTGGCAGCGTTCATTTGATGGACGGGGGTTCAGTTGGGAGATTTTGGAACCTCCACTGGCGACTGGAAGTATTCGGGTGGGCGATGTGGGCGGAGCTTGGAAGCCCGGTGCAGCAACGACGTTGCTGACCACTTTCCTACCTGCCTTCCGGAGTCTGTCCCGAGTTGTGGATACGTACCTGAAGGTACTCTGTACCTGTCGCAAGTACGCAACACTTTGGGCAGGCACGAAATGGGCATGAATTGGACACCAATAACCAAAGGAAAGGAACGCTAGAAGGGGCTTGCGTTGCTGCTCCGTTTGCTCTTGCCTTGTGGGAACGAACTTTGCATCCATGGGAGCTTGGGAAGGACCAAAACCCACTGGCCACGCAGACGAAGCCATTTGGAGAAGCTGCAAGCCAAGTTGGTTCTTACCATGTTTGAATAGTGGGGCCCCTGATTGGTCGTCCCTTCTTATCTCTCGGCACGGTGGGGCCAAGATTGCTAGCTTCATCTTGGCAATGATAAGGCGAAGCAGGCACCAGTGGGACGGTCATTACCCTTGCCAGTCCCTGCAGGGGTACCCCCATCCCTCTTTCCCTTTCCGTTTTCCAACGAATGACTGAAACAGGGGCACCTGATTGACGACGACTCTCACCACCTTCGATCTCCAACTTGCATCTAATTTGAATACAACAACACATCGTCTCAAATCAGGTGCCAGTGTTCATGATTCTTCTCATCGTGATGTCATGTTCACTTCAATTTTACGCTTCTGCATCATGCCATTGGCCTTTCGCTCCTTGAGAGTGATCTTTATGGCCTCACTCCTTCGCCAATAGCCATGCGCATCTCATACATAGATAACCAAGATTGGTCCGCTGACTTGCAACCTTATCAGTGACCAGCGCCATTCCTGAATCCTGCAGCACTCATAATACCCCTAACCACTCATATCCGAAGTCCCCATTCGTCTCTGAAATCATGCCGCCTGCCCTAGACTAGCTCCCACTGCATTCGCCAAGGAATGCCGGCTAACACGGTATTCATCATCAAGTGTGAAATATTCCTCGTATGTACCTTACTGATGAAGATAAGGCTCTCATGTTGGTTACACTCGCGGCCTCTGATTCTCAGAGTCAGAGCCATTTCCTTGCTCATTAGCCATCACTGTGACACTGACGAGCTCTCAAACTCTCACTCGTCGTACCTGTTACCTTGGTTGGCGCGCTTTGTATTGATCCGTCTCACTTGGACCCCATCGCTCACTTACATGGAGGTGAACAACCCAAAAAGATGTTCGATCAAGAACATTGAACATCATTTAAAGCATGTCTCAAACCTCCCGATATCATCTTCTGGAAAGGTTGCCGTTCATCACGAAACGACCGTACGGAAACTTTAGAGTTAGTAGATCAACCTTGTTCCTTCTCCTACCATCCCGTCCGCCTGGGTCTGTCCCATTGACTTGCGTCTTTGCGGGCGCATTGGATGGCGCCCAAGCGCCCCTGATTATCCGTAGATAGTCTGTTCGTCAGATGGACGGGCGTTCACTTCTCACGTGGCTGCGGGCGCAACACTTTCCACATTTGAGAATATATATATGCCAGCCTCCAACCTCCTTCTTCAAACGCCGCCGCCCAGATGTTGCACCTGTAATGTTGAAGCTTACGAAGAATAATCCCCCAGAGCCTTACAAAAGCGATCAATCCCATGACCAGCACGGAACCACCGTCGGGACTCGAGAGACATGAAAGAGCTGATATTCACACCGAAATCAGCAAATTATAACATACACCATTGCTATCAACCACAATACTGACCTCGACGTGCTCTTAGGTGACACCAGAAACTTCGCATCATGAACCTGCATGCCCTCATGTATGTCATAGACGAAGAGGAGACTTATTGCCTTCGGAGCTAAAGTTGTTCCAAAACACTGTCACATATGATCAACACATATTGCGTCAAGCCCTTGAAGTGATGGGAGAGAGGGTCGGAAATGATCCTCAAAGATACAAGCGGCCAGGACTGATAGAGCAGTCTTTGTTGAGGGACTGCTCGGCTCCTAGAGCTGCAGACTGGGCTCCAGTGGAAGACGCTTCAGCACGTTTGAGCACGAACTTCCCCAAGTTACCACCAGACAACGTGGAAGGGACAGCCTCACTTCAGGCGCTAAGACCTGATGATCCCTTGACTTATGCCAAAACGGCATTCAATTACATCAACTTGGCCATCTGCAACGCTGATCTCACGGTCTGCTTGCTACCGTGGCCCGCTGGTGTTGACATACGTAACAGAAGAGCAATTATCACGGAATCAAGTTCAAATCTCTCTCTCGACTTTGGAAAACTTAAGAAGACCACGATAATTCGTAAAACGTATGTCATCAAACGGCTCTCTTACATTGGCAGCTTTCTCAGAATTGCGATCAAGATTCGAGTCTCAAGTCGGCATGAACCTTTGGGTCGACATTCCATGTATCAACTCAGTCCAGACCGGTGGAATAGGGATCATGAATGTTATACGTATAGAGGGATTTGTTAGCGAATCATCCTCTGATATAGACCAGGCCAAGAAGAGTGCGCTTCTTTAGCTTCTCAGATTTTGATCACCGGGAGAATGGCTGGCTTGATTAGCAGTGATCGTGAAACGATGTAACACGTAGATTGTTAGAGAAGACTTTGTACTTCCATGATCCATGAAACCTTCTCTGTGGACCCAGCTCTACTGTCCCCTTCTGATACTCACTGAAGTAAGGCAAGCTACTCTTTAGCACATGCGCGCCAGTTTTGTACGCAGGAATAATGGCCGATTCTTTGCAAAGAAGCCTCTCAACTATATCCTCTCAAGTCTTTGGATATCAGTCAAAGCAAGTACAAAGTGCATGTCATCACCCAGACCTCGCTCTTCAGACCCATTTTCAGGTATCTGAAAATCATCGCAGAAAACACATCATCCAAGTGCAAAGTATATAAGACCAACGGCTTTCTTGGGCAAGGTGTTGAGCAATATCAACCACAACGGAGTGTCGGCCGTGAATGGTATCCACATGTCCAACGACTTTACCATCTTGATATTTGTAGGGCCAGCCTGCGCCATGAACAGGAACATCTCTTTCGGGTTACTCAAATTGAACATATTCTCGGAATGAATACGGATATCAAGTCGCGGCAGACTTGAATCCACGTCCCAAGTATCGCTGGTACCATTGTTCGATATCATGGACTCTGTGTCATGTGTAGGACAATCATTTTCTGACATGCGTTCCAAACAGCCCATGATAGGTTCTGCTTACGGTCAAAACAGCTGACGGGGAGATCGAATATCTTCAACTGCACTTTGAGTGGCAAGGTCAGAAGCGCTGAGTTTGTTGTGAGGTTCATCGCCGTACTTGGGAGGGTTGTCTGAGACTCTAAGAATGTCGCTTGAAAAGTGGAAGTTCGCAGCCAGATGATGATGCTGGGTCTGTATTGGAGAGATCAAGGCCAAAGAATGCAATTGTAATGTCTTTTCTTCTGAAGTGTAATTGTCCAAGTAGTCATCAGAGCAATTTGATATTACAAGTATGTTTGTATCGAGGCTTGATCCCATGGAAGGAAGGCCGTCAAAGATGAGCGGGATCATAACATTGACATCGGGAGAGCGGGATAACCATGTGATCAATAAGATACTGCATGTAGGATTGGTCGAGATATAAAGTATCATCGAAAGGCCACGACGACTGCTCTTGATTTCAGCTTGGCTACCGTTCTGAGAAAGATCGGTTTGAAGGATTATAAATAATATCTGACTCTACTAGCGAGACCCCTGGTGCATGCAGAAGACTCTACCTCTCTGTGCTGAAGTGATATTATGGCCGCATACCATGATACTTCGGGTCAGGCGAGAATGTGTTCGAGTGAACGGTGGTGGACACCATGTTCTTCCATGAGTGTGATGCTCCAACATGCTTCTTGGGCTTCAATTATGATAATGCCGAGATGGGGGAAGCGACCTAATCTTTAATTGGAAAGCTATAACTACTCAGATAAATTCTTAAATCAAGCATCCATCTATCTCACTCCATGTGGTTGCAATCGCTCCCCAATGTCTCGAAGAAGACAGCAGGTCGAGTGTGCGACTCTTGGCCTGGCCTCACGAAGTGACGAGCCTGGAACACTCGATTCACGGCCCTTGACTCAGTCACCAAAAACTGCTGAATCTTCGATGCTCGTATTAATAATGAAGACTGTAATCTCGTGACGAAGACCAAAGTCGCGTGCCCTGAGGGTAGACTGCACTGCCCAGCTGCATTTGAATTTTTATGGCGAACGCCCCAGAACTTAGAGGCTCGGAGGCTCGGATAGTGAGGCTCTCGTATGGGCATAAGCGCACCGCGTCAATGTGCGTCACTTGCAACGCACAGCACGATATTATAGCGATTCATCCAATAAAAGTTCAGATGACACACTGTGATTCTGGTTACTTTACGTTTGGGCGTTCGGAATTGCCCCGCCCTGAAGTGAACTTGACGAATACTGTTTGTGGGGCTGTTCCGAGTAATTTTGTAGCACGCTCCCTTTAGGTAGAATAAGAAGGCCTTACTTTTGTCCCATTTTAAAATGTAGCATTGTACTTGGGTTGCATACTCAAACGGACTTTTTGCCTGAATAGATTTGGAAAAATGGCCCATCCCTATCACGACATCAAAGATGTAAGTTGCACGGCATTCTGGGGGAAAACATGCTGATGACTTCCTGACTCAGTTCCAATCGTTCTGCAAAGCTCGCGCAATTGCGTTGCATGAACATGTTTCCGCTCTACCTGCAGAGAAATTCAAAGAGAACCCATGGGAACTCGTGCGAGCCATAGAGAACTTTGCCAACACCGAGAAGCTACCTATGATCTTCCGTGAAAACAAGATGAACCTGGCCCGAGCCGCTCTCGCCAACATGAGCCCAAAGCCAAAGGTGATAGTCGAGTTTGGAAGTTTCGTTGGCAACTCGACTGTAGCATGGGGCGCTATGCTGAAAGAATTTTACCCCGACAACAACAGCGGTATTCGCGTTTATAGCTTTGAGCTCGACCCCGAACTAGCAGGGATTGCACGAGACATTGTAAAACTGGCTGGTATGAGCGACATCGTCATCGTGATTGACGGGCCAGGCGCAGAATCGTTGAAAGGCCTTGTGAAGAACGGAGATATCGAGCCCGAGAGTGTTGATGCTGTTTTCTTCGATCACTGGGAAGACATTTATCTGACAGATTTGAAACTCTGCGAGGAACTTGAAGTTTTCCACAAGGGATCGGTGGTCATGGCAGACAATACCGATATTCCTGGCGCGCCCAAGTATCTCGAGTATGTCAGAGGCAATATGGATGAACAAGCTGGAACCACACAATATCAAAGCAAAACTCATCTCATACCCAACTCGAGTATTTCAGACGGACCAGTAAGTGATATCAACGGTTCCCAATTACAGCCACCTACTGACAGAGTAAATAGAGAGCTTTGGAAGTTACTACGGTTATTTAGTTATGAATTATTGATTGCCTCCATTGCTAGAAAGCCGAGGGTGCCTTGAAGTTGCTGTTGTTTTTGGGATGTGCCAATGGAAGTTTCAGTGGAATACACGGTTTTAATACTCAAAGTGTTCTTCACTCTAGGCCTGCTAGTCTGGGCGAGAGTTCTGCGTGTAAGATGTTCCATCAATACTGTATTGAGATGAATCAAATCAATAGTACGCCTTCCACGGTTTTAAAGTAAGCTGTAAGTTGCTCTCTGGACAGCGGCGACTATCTTTTCAAGCCACTCAGCAGCACCTTCGATATTTCCATCTTCCAAGCATTCCACAACGCCGGGAAAGATGACTCCATCATAGCCGTACCACAATCCGGGTGCAAAGATCTGCTGAAATGTCAGAACGATGATCAGCCAGGGCCAGGTACTTCAAACTCACAACATGCCGATACCACTCCCGGCCAGGCAGCCCAGCATTCTTTGGCAAAAGGAATTGTCGCTCGAGACGAAGATAAGCTTTGTTGACTTCTTTGTCGACTTGCCTACTTCCCGGAGCTCCTCGGAGGGGCGATCTCGCGTCTAAACGAGAGGCTGCGTCTTGAAACTGAATAATGGCTTCGATGAGAGCAGAAAAACTGAGCATGTCATCATACTTCACCCGGAGCTTCTGCAAGTGATGGGCGAGGATTCTCGGGTACTCCGCTGCCTCGAACGCAACGTTACCCAGACCAGCAAGTCGTGCCGTCAGCAAACCCCAGAGTTGAGTCATGGCGAGGTGCTTCTTGAAGCCCACATCTCCAAAATTCTCGACCCAGTAGTGACTGTCATAATTGGAGTGATAAGGATACACACCCTTCCCCTGTCGATTGAAGAGCAGGTCAACGGATGGAATACCGAGATGATCGAAGAATGCCGTGTAGTCACTTCCTGTGCCCATGAGGTCAAGATTTGGGGCCGTCTGCTCTGGATTGGCTCGCTTCTGATCACTCAACCAGTCATCATAGACTGTTTGATTCTGGTTGACCGGAGATTTGATCATGCGGGTAACATCACGAAGTACACTTGCAAGAAGAGGGCTCCCAGTAGCGCCAAGGATCGTCCCACCATTGGTTGACTCGTCAACATTTAGGTCTGGGCAGGCATTAGCTCAAGTCTTTCACCGTATTTCAGACGAAAAGTCAGACTTACAGGCAACACAATTTTTGCTCAGGTCATCCTGGTGGTGTTCGACCCATTCGGTAGAGCCGACTAAGCCGTATTCTTCGTTATCCCAGTTTGCTAGTATACTGCATCACAGATTAGAGACAATCCTCAAGGGCTGAAACTTGCAAGCGTAACATCGCATTGCTTACATTTTCCTGTATGGTTTCCAGCCTTTTGAGCACAAATCGCCCAGAGCTCTAGCGACCTCGTTCATAGCTGCCGTTCCACTCACAGGGTCAATAGCTCCACAACACCAAGAATCATGGTGGTTGCCAAGAACGATGCTCTCTTCAGTAGTCCCACGTATGGTTCCGATGACGTTGTAAATTGGGGCATATGTGTAAGTGCCTGTGACAATGGTAAGAAAGCTGGCCTGTATTCTGAGTGCCTTGTGATTAGAATCGCTCACTTTGATTTGAAAGAAAGACTTTGGCTTCGCTGGGGCCGGTACAGTAGTCTACGGCCGCAAGGCACCCTTTCCAGTCGCCGTCCTCGCCACCTATTTGACTAGGTCCCAGTCCATGGCCGTTCAATGCCTGAAGGAAAGGAATGGCATCTGCATAGGAAATCGGCAGTGATGGTATCTTTGGAGTTGCGTAACTAGGATCCTGTCGTTCGACATCGGTGTCTGGCAAGCTGGGATATCCGGGTGTCGTTGGGTCTCCGACAGCTACGGAGAAGAAATCGACGCTGCCTCTTTGAATCGTCTTGGGATGCCTCGCTGGGCCATAAGGATAGTGTTGATAGCCGTTATAAACGGTGTATTCGCCATCCTCTTGGGGATCGTTGTACAGAATGACGGCGGCGGCTCCGAACTGCTCGGCCGCTCTAACCTTGAGTCCTCTGAAGACCTTGGCATACTTGCAAACAACAATCTTATCTTTCACGGATATACCATGCGACTTGAGCAGCTCGAAGTCTTCCAACTCGCCGAAGTTCGCGTACACCAGTTCGGCGCGGACTTCGCCGTTGGCGCTGAAGCCATGAAAGGCGGGTAAGCCGTTCCGAGGAGACGATGTCGGATCCTCGGGAACCTCGTCCTCCGTCAGAGAAGCCTCAAAGGCTGTCTGCCCATCGAGGTCAAGAAGGTGCAATGCTTGAGACTTTGGGAAGTTTTGGAGGACCTCGTACTGTTCCAGTTTAGTTGGAATTCCATAGGAAATCCATAAATCTCGGATGCGTTCCGCGTGGGCAAGGTCTCCGGCTAGGTGGGGTTCTGCACTGTATAGCTTTGACCAATGGCGGAGTTTCGCAGTGTCAGGCGATTCAAGCATGAGCTTCTCAGCTTCATGCTGTAATACCTTGATCTCCATAAGCTTGCGTCTCAATATATGTGTCCAAATGCTAAAGTGTCGCTGATACTGTTGTTGCTCTAAACGGAATTGACAGGACCCCCGAGTAAGAGGTTAGTCCAAGCCAAACGCCAACCAGGTGTGGCAGGAATTTTGCAATGCTATCAATCCACTATTCATATCATCGTTCGGCCCACGGCCGATTGCGGGGTTACAGGATTTTCGGGATCCTGGCGGAGATAAGGACTGAACTGGCTTCCCTGGCTAGGTTGAAATCGCAGCCAAATCTTAGATGATGAGATGAGGTGATCGATCATCACCTAACGAGTTAAAGTAATATCCTGTAGCTTAGTCTTACTGTGCTGTCACGACACCATTCAATTTGGTGCTGTGATGAACCGTTTGATGTACTAACGGCTTATGCTCTGCTTACTTCCTGCAGAATGTCGCCGGACGAGGTTGACGGCATACACGACCGGGTTATAAGAATGCAACAGATATTCGGTCTATATTTCAGCCACAAATGTCGACTATGAGACGCATGAGCATTCTGATACAATCAAGATAATCCGGAATATCTACTTTCTCGTCCGGTCTGGTGTTGTACTTCCCTCCAGGACCACAGACAATGCCTTCCATTCCCAAAGCTTTGAATAGATGGCCAGCATCAGATCCATAGAAGCAAGTTGGTGCAAGAGCACCAGTTGGCTGCTCGTAGTTGCGAACTCCTCGATATGCCTTATTTAGTGCCCTCACTATTCGCGAGTCTTTTGGTACCTCAAAGGCCGGCATTGTAGGCTCAAATCGCTGCTTGACAGTAGCCGACATGCCAGCATAATTGCCGATCACCGTGCTTACCAACTCGCGAATATCGGCCAGAACACCTTCTTGCGTCTGGCCAGGAGCATACCGCGCACTCCCAGCAAGCCTGCATACGTCCGCTACTTGCGCAGGTCTCCATTCGACCAAGTCTTTCCCAAGGGCACCATGGACCACGCCGACTGAACATCTGTTGCACTTTTCATGCTCACTGCTCTTGGCTCCACGAAATTTCATCTTTGCCATCTGGGGAATCAGCTCACATGCCGCTAGGATCGCATCTGACGCCTCCTCCTTGGCTGACATATGTCGAGTGATTCCGACAATTTCGATCTCGAAGACTAGGGCTTCTGCGTGCATTGTAACTGCTTGTATGTCCGATGGTTCGCAGTTGACGAAATAATCAGCATTGATCTTTCCCTGATCAATGAGAGCCATCGTACCAACTCCTCCCTGGAGCTCTCCAACCACATAGGTAAGGACGACGTCCCCTCGAGGTCGCCAGCCAGCCTTGAGCAACGCTTCAACGGCGCAAAAGTACGCAGCACAGCCAGACTTCATGTTGCTGACTCCAATACCGTATATGAATTCTTCGTCAATCTTCCCTTCCCAAGGATCGATCGTCCAACCTTCTGAAACAGGATTCGTGTCGAGATGTCCGTTGAAGAGCAGGGTTTTTGGAGTTCTGTTGGTCGCTGACGAACTATGACCCTTCCATATTCCCACAGCATTCTGGCGACGGCCATCATCGAACTGAAAAATATTCGAATCCAGTCCAATTCCTTTCATTTGCTCAGCCATGAAATTCGTTGCCTCTAGCTCGCCATCGGTCTGCGAGTAGCTCTTGATTTGAATGAGCTTTGACAAGAAAGCAAGGCAATGAGCCTGGTCAATGTCTGGAACTTGCATGGTTTTGGTGAGGTTTCTCTGGCTGCGTATTGGAGTTGCTCGAAGCGATAGATTGAGCTACTGATAGATCGTGACCTTGGGCAAGCGTTGCACCTAACACTGACTGCCAGTGGCGATTCTGGGACGTGCGAAGGCCGGCAACCTCGGTTCGTACGTTGCCCAAGGTTAACTCACTGTATATTTCCTTCTGAGGGTCGAAGGATTAGAATACGCTATCGAGAGCCACTCGCAAATAGATCGGTGTGCTTGTCCGATCCATGGGTCAAGTTTGTATGATGCGAGATGTTCGGAGTCTTATCGGCCGCTTTGGCTTCCCCGGCGATCCACATAGAAACGAGGTAAGCGGAGACGTTAATGCAACCCCTGCATATCAAGCTTTCAAGTGGACAGAAGCCAGGTACACCGTCTTTTTCTTGGAGATCTTGTCCCAGTCACAAGCGGAGACGCGATACAGCACCCCTCAAGTTTCCCGAGGCGTCGGCATAATAAGACCGGAGTGGTTGCCCGGTGGTAAAAGTAGTCACATCTTATCAGCCACTTTGCTTCATAGCTAAAGTCCGGCTAACCGGCACATTGTCTACGGCAGGGAAGAAGGAGATAACTATACTTCCACCGGTTGAAAGGTCATCAGTGGCTACCTGCACTGTGATATCTACATGTTGTGGGGACATTCATTCAAGCTTACACGAAGGTGCCACAATTGATAGCGACGTCGGCTTTGAGAGGCCGAGTCAGTGCATCTATCGGTTCCAAGTGTTCGGATGCTGCATTATTGCCTATGGGTAAGGAGACATTTCCCCCTTCACAGGTAGTTCTGGTGGAGATATTAGACCACTGAACCGGGTGCCGAAAACCAAGGTCCCGGCGCTCAACTCATATTCTCAAAGCTTACCCTACGAAGATGAGTGACAACATCGAAGCACCACCAGCAGCGGCTGACAACGCCACCGACCATGAGGTTGCTCTTAAAGGGCAAGTCGCCGATGAAGGTTACGATATCTTTGAGGAAGGCATCGCGCAGTCTGTGCCGCAGGATATTGCCGATGCCGTTAGGCGAAAGATTGATCGCCACCTTTTAGTCTTGATGTGCTTGCTGTATGGCCTCAACTATGTTGACAAGGTTGCAATGGGATGGGCAGTGTTATTCGACTTCCGCAAAGATCTTGGTCTGGTGGGAGATGAATACTCTTGGGCTAGCTCCATGTTTTACTTGTCAGTTCGGACGACCAGCTTTGTGGATTCAAGAGCAAGCTGATCATCTACAGCGGATATCTTGCGGCGCAATATCCTGCAAATTACATGCTCCAGCGATATAAGACAGTCCGAATTCTCAGCTCTGCCGTGATCATCTGGGGTGTGCTAATGCTTGCGTAAGTATTCACCCTTCCTGAAAGACTGATTGTTGTGTCACTGACGGTCGGGAAGTCATCTTGGCTTGCGAAACTTTGCTGGCTTGATGGTTGTTCGTTTCCTCCTCGGGGTAGCTGAATCGGTGGTTACCCCCGGCATCTTGTTGTATACCTCCATCTGGTACACTCGGAAAGAACAGGTTTTGCGTACGATGCTATGGGCTGCTATGCAAGGGGCGTTCTCCATTGTTTGCAGCTTGTTGTCTTTCGGCCTGGGTCACATCACCAACACTGCCTTGAGACCTTGGATGTACATCTTCCTCGTCCTAGGTATTCTCAGTATCTTGGTAGGGGTCCTCTGGATCATGTTCATGCCGGAGACCCCCAACAAGGCTAAATTTCTCACACATGAGGAGCAAGTCATTGCCGTGCAGCGTGTTGCGCAGAACATGACTGGCATCAAGGGATACGAATGGAAGTACTACCAGATGTGGCACGCAGTGATCGATGTCAAGACTTGGCTGGTATTGGCATTTGTGCTCTTTACTCAACTTCCTAACGGCGGTCTCACATCATTTGGAAGCCTTGTCATCTCAGGGTTTGGCTTCGACGCTTTCCGAACCCTGCTCATTGGCCTTCCTTCATCCGTTGTTAGTGCTGGTAGTATGATTGTTTGGGGAACCATTTCAATCAAGTACGGAAATCTCCGAACTTGGGGCATGATTATACCTCTGCTGCCTGCGATTGCAGGAATCGCGGCCGTCTATGCAACTATGGGCACGGGAGCAAACAAGTACGGGCGCGTAGTTGCATACTGGCTGATCAACTCGTACGCAGTAACAGTGAGTATCTAGCCTCTCCCTCGCATGCGGAAAATCAACACTAATACTCTCCTCGAAGTGGCCATTTGTCTTGACGATTGTCGGCCAAAACGTCGCAGGCCATACCAAGCGGGCATTCACCAACACAATGCTTCTCATGGTATTTGCTGCAGGAAATATTACTGGGCCGTTCTTTTTCCGCAGTCAAGACGCCCCGAAGTACGTTCTTGCTATTGCGGTCATTTTGGTGTGTTTCTGCGCCGCGCTTTTAACTGCGGTTGCCTTACGACTGTACATGGCTTGGCAAAATAGGTGCCGGGATAATAGGGATCGTAATGCGGATGGGGCGGAGGAGAAGGTTGATGGGATGAGGCTTGGAATGCACGACAAAACAGACTTGGAGAACCTAGATTTTAGATACGTTCTCTGAGGTCTCATGACTTGACACCCAACTTCTCTTAGGGAGCACGATGACCAATTTGTATTAGTTGCACGAAAGACCTCATTTCAAACGTTCATTGCAGGCAGTCTTGTCTCATTGTGCTGTACACTGCAATATTACCGAGCTCTCATCTGCCTTTGAGAAGGTGTTCTGCAACTGAGAATGTGGCTGGACACCAGACGTGGCCCGGTTGTTCTGTGGCGGGGCGTTCCGGCCCGCCAGCCTTGTAGGATTAGTCTGGTGTCGTCTTCCTTCATCCCCTAAGTCCCCCCACACATCGATCATATCATGAACAATAGTCACACCCTTGCCCTTCAATATCAGAGCTTAAAATCCATACCACTCGGACTCGCAGTCGACCAAGTGGCTTTCACCCACAGTTCAGTCAAATCTATCCACCATGGCGACCATCCGTCCATGTCTCGATCACCATCGACAAAACAGGAGACACTGATGTTTCATGACTCTTCCACAACGTTCAAGACGGAAGTTCAAGGCAGAAGAAAACCCTGGGACTAACTGGGTAACGCATTAACGCTGTTCGAATGACCAGTCGGACATGGCCTCTACTGGTCTTGACGTCGCTTACCTCATTGCCGCCATGACCAACTTCACGAATTGTCGCACGATTTTCTCATTGGGGATTGGGGATGCAGCCTCAGTCGGCCCAAATCGCCACCTTGGGGCATTTCTCAATTGCAAAATGGGATCTGCTTCGAACTTGAACCATGGATCTTGAGACCTAGCGGCATTGTCTTTGCCAAGCGCGCAATCACGGTATTGCTTTCACCGGTCATAGGAAGCCGCATACCACTCGAACATCTGCAAATCGACTTCGCCCATTTCCCGTTTACCCCGTTTAGAACACCAAGTTCGACCCCCTACACCACGCTGTGTTTCCCACAGCTATTGGCTATTCGTCTGGCACCCTCCACACTGTTTCGAAATTGCATCTCTCGCTCTCATCCGGATAAACGGAAGATATCGAGCCCGGGCTGGGACAAATGGCTGGGATTCGGATGTTGCAGACTTTGTCAATCTATTCCCATCCATCTCCGACCTTGCCATGAAGTTCCATAGAAGCTTAGAGGATTCAAACTCAACCAACCTCTGGGATCTTTCCATGCTACACGCTCCCAACCTCAAAACCTTGGTCCTTCAAGGGTTCGAAGGTGAAGGCGGTGATCTGATTGATGTGTTGCGCCGGCATGGTGCGAGTTTGAACGATCTGGCTTTGGACAACATCAACCTAGCGCAAAGCGAGAGCGCTTGGTCCACTGTCGCCCAGGTTGTTCGAGATGAGCTGAGCGGTTACACAATCCAGTTGACGGACGGTGAATTCGAGGGCTACTCTTTGGAAATCCCCAACTTCTCCTGCGCTGATTCCTTGTCTTAAAACTCTTTCTTACAAGCAATAACCCATGAAGAACTCACTGATCTCTATGACAAACTTGTGAATTTGGAGAGTTGAGGGAACCTGAGCACTTTCAAGTGGAGAACAGATAGAGTATGAAAGTTCGTGTAAGACTTATAAACGGCTTGAAATTCTGCTTCGTAGAGATAACTGCCGTGGTCCGTATTGGAATATCCATTCCTTCAATACAACCTTCCAATGCACTTACTCTTCAAACTCATCAGCAAGTGGAAACGACTTTGGAAGTTTTGGTTGTGGAGGTGGTCCTCATCGTCGTTCCTCATCCTCCATCGTTGAAGACAGACCACTATACGCTTTGCTGGTGCTGGGTACTGCTTGTCTCGCTTTATCAGTGGCAGAGATAAATTGCTGCCATTTGACCGTCTGAAGATGCATATGATAGTTGAACAGATTATCCTCGGGTTCGTACCGATCATCCCAGTCTTCGCTGTGACCGTCGGGCTCATTGAAGATCTCTTTGATCACTTCCAATTCATCATAGTCCCTGTAAAACTTTTTGGTCGGTCGTAGGTATTATTGTATACAGTCGTATCTATCACTGAGTTCAAGATCCTCCTCCTTCGCACGCCGTTCGATATTCTCCAGATAGAACTTCCGACGAGATTGAAGTCCGGCTTCCCACTGTTCTTGTGTTGGATTCGTCCCACCAGAGAGCTCGAGAAAAATATTCTTGTGGTCTCCAGCTATGCATGCAAGTGTGACTTGGTGTTTCAGGTCAGGTCGACGCCATGCCAGGTCGCGAGCAAGGTGTTCTCATCTGGGCAGTGAGGCCACCAAAAGAACTCCGGAAGCGTTTCGCCGTCGACTTCGCTATTGATGCGGGATAGGTAGTCGTTCATGATGAATCGCGCTTGATATGCCTGCCTAACAAGTTTGTTTTGATATTCACGGGGGAAAAGCTCGTCAACGCATGTTTCGAGCCATCGCGCAAATGGTGTGTGATAGTAGGCATCAGGAACAATGGCCGTGATCTTATTGGGGACCGTAATTGGCCGTCTAAGCCGAGCGTAGCGATTAATCTTGCTGTCTCACGCAGCCATGAGAATCAAAATGTCTTTATTGATAGGAGGTAAGTCTCTTGGCAGAGGGTTGTGAAGTAGGTCGATGTGCTCGCCTTGTAAGTTCGAAAGACCAGCACCCGACCACGTATAAGTATTGGTACTGGAGTCCTTTTGGATATCGAAGTAGTGGTAAGGCTAGCTTTGCAAATTGGGTTCCTTCTCGGGGGCACCTCCGTCTTTTATCGATGACCGATGGCGTTGTAGAGAAGATCTTATAGCGGTGTCTCCATTGAGATAAGCTCCTGGTCGTGGATTCTGCAGATCTACAGATCGCTGATAGCCGTTCATGACATCAAATCCCAAAGGCTGGCCCACAACGTGCTCGGAAATATCGAGCGGAACATTATCACGAGCTTCCTCAGCAATGGAGACATCCGGTAGTAGGTCAATTCGCTATAAAGCCGCCGATATTCTGCAACGGCACAAGCTCGCCCAATGTGATAGCGCATTTCTGGGTGGCGGTAGAAAAGCTCTCGATAGGTGTCCTCCGTGGCAACATCGGAATACCAACTACAGTAAGGTATCACTGCCTGGGAAGCCATGTCTGGAATAATGTTGCTCATAGTGAGACGTGCGTTGCGGGCCCTTGGGTACCTATCATGAACTTTGCAGATCTCATTAACTTCTGGCGACTTGGCAAAACTTTTGTGGTGTCGGATGCCATTGACGAGGAACTCGTTACTACCACCTCGCGTGGTAGTGTAACATTGCAGTGTCCCGTCGGGAGCTATCCCGTTATAAAGAGCGACATCGGGTCTTATATTGCCAATTGCAGAACTCGAGAACGTTCGCCGACGTTTCTATGTCAAAGCTTGAGAAAATCTGAGCCATTATTGACGCAGCAGCAAAGATGACATGCCGGGACTGGCTGCTCGCAGTTGAGCGTAAGGAAATGGCAGTAGTTGTTGTTGTTGTTGTTGTTGTATTTAACGCCGTGGCGGCCGGGCTAGAGCCCTTACCGCAGACCTCCCGAAGGGTATATGGCGTGGAGGGCCGTGAGCCAAGGCTACCTACTCTACAGTACGTCGTCTCTTTACATCGTCCTCCAAATCATGCCTTGTGGCCACTACGCGTTCTGTCTGTCCCCGGTTCCCGCTGGTGCCCCAGTTTCATTCTTTCCCAAATCGTCCCTTGGAATCGGGAGGTTCTTTGTAGTCCGCACTCACATCTACGTAGGTGTGGATGCTGCTACCGCAGACAGATCTTCTGGAAGAAGTCCGTCACGCGGAGAAAGGCCTCGAAGCCTCGTGGGTCGGTGATTAATCTCTTGAAGTAGGCCTCGAGAGATCCCATAGGGCCTATGGGCTCGGGCATACTGCGAGAGTGGAGGGTCGGCCACCGTTGCCTCCTCGCCAGCGTTAGTCGACAGTAGACCAGGTGGTCCACGTCTTTCGCCTCTCCACAAGAGCACATCATTAGAGCGTCGTCGTGGTTGAAACGTCGGTGATATTGCTCGAAGTCCCCGTGACCCGATCGTGCCGCCAGCAGGTGATGTAACGTAGCCCGCGGCAAGGCCAGTTCAGGAGGGCTGGACAGAGCTGCCTCAAGCCCCAAGTCCGCGTACCGCGGCCTTCGCTCTTTATACCACCATCTCCTGTGCTGGCTTTGTAATTTTTCCCTTGCAAGCCGCTTGATGCCCGCTAGTGTTGCCATTTGACCCATCCGCGCCGGCAGTGTCGTTCCTTCTTTGGCCAGCCGGTCCGCGGCCTCGTTTCCTTCGATGCCCTGGTGTCCCGGGGACCAGTGCGTCCGTATATCAAATATCCTGGCCGCTTCTTGGATTTCGAGGAACGCGTCTTGTGACGAGTCCGGCGCCTTGCCGCGGATGCCTTGTATAACGCTGGTGTTGTCGATACATATGTGGATTGGATGACCGCGATTGGTGAGCAGAGCCCTTCTGAGGCCGGTTCGCGCCCCTTCGACCTCGGCGTCGAACACTTCTGCTAGTCCGAGTCGGCCGCACCCTTGTGCTATGCGTTTGGAGTCTCGGTAGATGACGAAGCCGTACCCCACGGCTCCGTTCGTCGCCCTGGAGCCGTCCGAGAAGACGATCATATGGCTTTCCGGTACTGTCTTTAGCCAGCGCTCGAAAGCTTTCGCAGCCTCTTCTTTGCATTGAACTACTATCTGATCCTGTGAGCTTGGCAGGTACTGTGATTGAAGGAACGCTGGTCTTCCGCATCTTGGCAGAAGTTCAGCCGTCCGTTGTAGTCTCGTCTGTTGCTGTCCCTGCTGGGAGAGCCGCGCGACTAGCGGGTGTCGGCGATCAATCCTCTGTAGTCGGACTGCGGCCCGTAAGCGGACGCCCTCTAAGGCGACTTTGGCTGACGGTAAGCCGGCGTCTCGGAGGAGGCTACTGGTTGGCGTTGTCCTCCAGACAGGCAGAACGGCCCTTGCTGCCGCTGTAATGACGCTGTCGATCTTCTGCACGAGCCCCTTTTGGCCTGTGTTGACGGGTCTTCCTTGGAGAGGCGGATTCGTGTCTGTCTCCGCTTGGCGTCTCGAAGCCGGCTTCGTGATACCTGCGTACCATGTTTCGGCGCCGAAGAGCGCGATCGGCAGTACGCAGGAGACGACGGCTTTTCGCACGGCGGCCGCTGGGAGTCCCCTCTTTGTGTTCGTAAGCTGTCTCAGATGTTGAGCTGCCCTCTTTGCTGCAGCTACTTTTGCGTCGACATGGTGCCGGAAGGACAGTCTCTTGTCGAACCAGACACCCAGCCAGCGTACAGGTTTCGTCGAGGCCTTGACCACCAAATCCCCCGCCCGGACCTCTGGCAGCTCCGCTGGCTGGCCGTGCTTCCTAGTAAAGTGGATGACCTCGCACTTGCTCGGGTCAAAGGAGACCTTGTTCTCCAAGCCCCATCTGAGAATGCCGGCTGCGCTTCGGTTGAGTATTGCGACGTTGCTCTCCAGGGAGGGGCTGATGGCCAGAGTGGCGATGTCGTCCGCGTACCCGAATCGCGCGTTCGGGTCGTCTTCAAGTATCTCTGCGATGTAGAGCAGAAAGGCAATGGGAGATAGTGTGACCCTGAGGCAGCCCGCATGACAGCGGGAAGTACTCCGTTGTGCTTTCTTCCAGTCGGACTCTAGCGGTGCGGTTGCAGCAGAAGCTAAAGATCAGTCTGGTCAGGCCATGTGGCCATCCTGCTGACGCAGTCTAATGACG